GTGGAGCCGCTGGACCCCAGTGTCCCTCCTGTGTGGGGGAGCATCCCAACCCAGCTCAGCGGGGTGGCGGGGACCCTGAGCTTGCTCCCATCTCTGCCTCTTGGTTTTAGGTGCACGAATCCCAGGGGTCGGACTCTTCCCCTGCAGCCAGTTCGGGGTATGAGTCCTCCACCCCTCCCGCGGTGGGCTCCGCCAGCAGTAAGGACTCCACTAAAACACCACCGGCCGCCCTTCAGAGTAACCCCGGCCACAACCCTGGACTGCCCCCCAATTTTAATGAGTGGTATGTGTGAAAGCAGCTGCTGCCCAGCCAGAGACTGGACCAAATGCGTTGGGAACATATTAAAATATGAGATGAAGTAGATGATCATGTTAAAATGAGCCAACTGCAGCTCGCTCCCACGGAAATGGAGTTTCCACACCGACGACCGCATAGGGCTACACCTAGTTAACTGCCAGGATCCAGAGGGGGGGGTCTTTTATTATTATATTATAATTATTACTATTTTTTGCAAGCCCAGACGCTGGACTAGCCATGTCCTTTTCTCAGGATTGGATTTCTTTTTTTTTGTTGTTGTCATTTTTTGCAGTCACAGTCGTTTGATTTTTTTTTTTCCCCCCTCCCTGCCCCAGTCCCTCTTCCTCCGATTCCCCACTTTTTTATTTTTAATTTGTTTTGGTTTTCCTTCTTTCGGTGGGATGTTGACATGAGGATGAAAATTCTCCTTCGCCTTAGTGGTGATTGTTTAAACTTACAGTCTTAAACCGTGCCAAAGTCCTGTTATGTCTTGAACTTTCCTCTCTAGCTCTCCTGCTGCTTCTTTCTCTGCTCTCCTCCTCTTTCTTCTTCTCTCTCTCCAAGCATTACACTTGTGAATGTATTCTCGTCTGATGGGGTCGGTCAGTATTTTTCAGGATGAGGATGTGGTGTTTATTCTACCCAGATTGTGACGTTTAGTATAACAGTTGCCTTTTTGTAATAACTTTTTTTGTAAATACATATCCATGATGCCATATTTATCGTTCGTAATTTAATTATTGATACAAAGTGCCGGGAACTGAAGAATATTTATGAGGGAGAAAAAATTGTTTTCTAACAAAAAAACAAACCAAACAACGACAAAAAAAAAAATCGAACTCTGTACAGCTTTTGGTTATAACTGCTTTAGCATTAAAAGTTTATTGTTTTGAAAAGAGCCGTTTCTG